GCCGTCGAGACGGCCATGTTCCATGGCACCACGGCAGGCGGCTGGAAGTCCATGGACGCGCTCTACTACCTGGCCAACCCAAGGATGTGCTACACCGTGGAGTTCCTCGGCAGGGTCGACACGTCGCCCGTCAGGGACGGCGGCGCCGCGAGCACGGACGTGGCCAACCGCGTGCAGCGCCTGATGGCGGCGTCGCTCGGGTACGAGTGCACCATGCTCACCAGGAAGGACAAGTATCTCATGCTCGCCGGCAACGACGGCGTGGTGCGCGCAAAGGGGGCAGCGTGCCAGTGGCCGTGACGGAAAAGAATTACTCTACATGCAAGCGTCGGAAAAAAAGAAAAAGAAAATAGAGGGAGGCAGAACAAATTTGATTTGAGATCGAGAGTTTGCTACAGCATATGTACTCTGTAGCCTCTGTTAAAGATATATACTACTCCCTCCGTTCCTAAATATTTGTCTTTTTAAAATTTCAAATGGACTACCACATACGGATGTATATAGACATATTTTAAAGTGTAGATTCATTTATTTTGCTCTGTATGTAGTCACTTGTTGAAATCTCTAGAAAGACAAATATTTAAGAACGGAGGGAGTAGTATATACTCTTTAAAGTTTTTGCACATCCTTCAACGCCGCATTACCTTTTCCATATGAGAATAGGGTTCTTTGGCCCTGGCAAAAATATATACTCCTTATATTTTGAAACTCATACATAAATTCATATATACGTAGATACACTTACTCCTATAAAAGCTCCCATCCACACCCTAATTCTATAAGTATCTGCAAGAATCTGACGCACATTACCAGATGACTTGAAATAAATTCAGGAAAAATGCGAACATTGGTGTCAAGTCTAAGACTTCACCACTGTCCTCCTAACCACTCAATTACATATTGGTTCACTCTATATTTTAGAATTGAGAGAGTATATATATCATGAAAGAAATGACACAAATAATCTCCCTACATTATGTTCACTAGGTAGTATTAGAGCATCTCCAAAAGTCCCTACATGTACATTATGTTCATCCATTACATCACCACCAAAAGTTAGCACTAAACCCTAGCCTAGCTACAAAACTCATTTGTACTAAACCCTAGCTAAATGAAAGGGCTCGGCGATGAACGCTACAATAGCCGCGGCCATCACCACATCGGTGGGGGCCATGTGGCGGTTCTGTGGCAGCCTCGAGATCGGAGTGGGAGATGACCACAACCAACATCACCTACTCCTCGGCATCTGCCCGAGACGGGGAAGCCTATCAGCGAGGGGAGTGTGAAGGGAGCGGCGTTCACGATCTCAGAGCAGGGTAACGACCGCGACCATCATTGCCTCCTCCTCGGTTTCGTTGGTCGACACCAGGGACATGGGCCGAGGGAGGGTAGCGGGTCGTCGTTCGGGAAGAGGGCCTGGATGACTAGCGACCAGAGTCACCCTCCATTAGCGGCGGTTGAAAGCTGCCTTCTTCCTCGTCTGAGTCATCATGTGTCGTCATGACAACATGAGGTGGGGACGCCCAGGGGCCCCTATGGTGGGACGGCTCGCCATCGTCTAGTGGAGATCGAATACGACGAGGCTAGCCAATGTCATTGGACCGAGGTGCGTGATCACATGAAGGGACCAAGGGGTTGTTTGGTTGCTGCCCCCATTCCTCGCCAATCGTGGGCTGACCAAAAAACTAGCAAAGGATTCGCGTGCACTGGTTTCACCAATTTGTTGGCGTGAAATCAATTGGAGGGTGGGTGGACGGGCTGAGCATGCCAAAAAATAGGAGCTAATCCAAACATACGCCCACGTCTCAGTCAACGCCAATGTTTTGGCTTGGCAGGTGAGGGCAGCGATCCAAATGTCCCCCAAGTACGAGTGCTGTTACCGTTGGCGCGAGTGATTGTCGATCATCCAAAGAAGCTAGATGTCACGGTGGGGTCCGAGCAGGTCCTCGCAACTGTGGCAAGGCATCATGGGAAACGACCGGTGGGGTTTGTAGATTGGACTTCTGGGATCGTAGTGCAGAGTGAACCGGGGCACGAAGAAGAGAGCGAGGCAAGAGAAAGTATGAAAAGGCCCTTTTATGAAGGTGAGGTCGGTGCGGGGTTACACCACTAAATCAAAAAAAAAAAAATGTGACTACAATACCAAACAAACTTGCATACATGGCTGCTTGCATTTTCGCTACAAGACAAGTTGTGGCTGCTTGCATTTTTGCTAGAAGACAAGTTTAGGTCATCAAAAGAACCCTACAAAAGTTTAGGTCATCAAAACGAGCATGTAGCTGATTGATATTTTTCCAGAAAAAGGGAAACAAATTGGGAGAAAATGAAAAATGCGTCTGCCGGGAGTCGAACCCGGGTCTATTGCTTGGAAGGCAATTATCCTAACCGTTGGACTACAGACGCTTTGATGTCAGCAACATTTCATTACCTTATACCAACGGAACAGAAAGGCGTCATCACGCACTATTCTTGAGACGTACAAGAAATGAGAGACAAAATGCCACCGTCACCTGCGCAAGCAGGCCCAGAAAGTCATTACTTCACACTACAGCCAGTCTGGGGGGACGAAACAGTGGAACAAACCACTCCACCGATCGCTTGATCGATGGCCTGGATAGTTCTGCAATGGGAAGGGCTTGCTGGAATCTAGCCTGGATAGTTCGAGCCATGAAAAGATTGCTGAAATGTGACCTTGATGGTTCTTCTGCCATCAACAGCCAGTTTCTACCAAAATGCCAGCATCATCTGCAGAAGCAGACTCCAGACCAGACCTAAATTTGGGGGCTAAACAGTTCCGACATCCTAGATAGTTCATCTGCCATAACCTGGATAGTTTCTTCTGATACAGAGAAGATTGTGCTAAAGTGTTGTCTTGAATGAACAGGAGAAAGTAGTTAGGTCGTGGCTGACGGCCTTCGGCGATAAATAGCACCTAACAAGAGCAGGAACCAGAGATTGGACAGAAAGCCATGGGGCTTTCCACATTATGGCCATAATGTTAAAAGGGAATCTGTACTAATTGCCGCACCTTATGATGAACTGGAAAAAAATCTAGTAAGTTGTCTGTACAAAGTTGGTGGACATAATTAGTTGGTACTCCCTCCGTCCGGAAATACTTGTCCTCAAACGCGTTGCGTCTGAAGGAATTTGCTTGAAGGTTCTTCAGATTATGACCAAAACAGGCCAACATATCAACAAGATGACAAGATGGCATTGCTTACCAGCAGGTATTGAAAGTTTCCAGATCGTGATCAGATTGATCGAGGGGGGCCACGAGACGTGATTAAAGTTTCCAGATCATAGATACGCTGTTGAAAGCAAAGTGCAGGATCATGCGCAGCAACAGTACCAGTATAAGGACAGTCGTACACCAATTTCGGCTCATCAATGCACCATACGGCAAATAGCAAATAAGTGAAGAAACTCACTAAATTATCTAACCAATGCAGAATGATTTTATTATTTCCAATTGACAATTCTCCTGTCGGCAGAAAATCTGGAACCAGCTGCTTGGTATTGTGGCATGGAGAAAATTATGGCGAGATAAGACGGTGAATCAACAAGGTCCCAACAATCAATAGAAAGTCTTAATAATCTCAAGTAAGGTACATTTAAGAAAACCTACCCATAACCAGTTCCAAGTGTTGAATTCTTGATCATCTGAAACTCACGCCACAGGCCCTAAATGCAACATACTCCCTCCGTCCGGAAATACTTGTCCTAGAAATGGATAAAATGGATGTATCTATAACTAAAATAAGTCTAGATACAACCATTTCTACGACAAGTATTTCCGGATGGAGGGAGTACAAAGTAGTGACAGAACAAAATGATATGCCAAATTCAGAGAGATGCATTAGAACTACATACATTTCAAAGAAAGATGGTCAGAAGCATGCACAGATAAGTTCAGTGATGATAAACTGCAAATTTTTAATAGTCTCTATTTGATAGAAAAACTTGCAGGAGACCAGCAACAAACAAGTTGGGGGCATGAACAAGAATTCTCTACGACCAAAGTTATTGCTACTTATTGATTGGCGAATCCACTCAATCATCTCCAGCCTTTATTGAGCATGGAGGACACCTACCAACAACTGTTGAACAGTATTAAGGTATGATCATTCGTGAAGTTTGCATACCTAGCCAATCATCTTCCACACTGCTAGATTGCCACCATATTGGTTAGATCATGTCATGAGTTTAACAAGTCAATACCCAGCACTGTACTCCGTTAAATGCAGTTGGAAATGTTAGTACCTTGTACAGACGAAAGCAAAAAGATTCTAAGAGTGTCTGGATAAATGATGAAGATATGCTGATTTTTTGGAGTAACAATATGAACCAAACGGTGCATATATAGGCTACCAAGGTTTAATTAACTATACAGTCCAGCAAACATGAGGACCTGCAGAGGAATTCAACAACTACCATGCAGAATATGAAGGAATTTGCCAGTCACTAAGCATTTTGTCACGCACAGATCAACAGCAACTGAATGCATCGAAAAAACTAGTCTACTCAAACAAGGAGAACATCAGAAGTAACATAAGCACGTCTTGATCAAATTATAGACCAGCTCTTCTTATTTACTGCTAAAATAAAAGCATCTATTCCAACTACCAAGCATCTAGATATGTAATGACTTCGGCAATTAGTTTTACTAATTAAGCCAATAAAAGGATGCATGAGTTTTACAATAGAGAGTTGTGCTAATTACTTAGATTTGCCTTTTTAACCCACACTGGTATTTTGGCTTTTGATGCTTTTCAAAAAATAAAAGGTGTACTAAACAATGCATCTACAAGGGAATGATCATACCACATAATTTGGAAAAACAACAACAGCTCAAGATTTAGGGAGAAGACCTGATGAGCTTATCTCACTAATTACTACCATCGTAATAGTGGTCACCGATACAGGGAAAACACCTAATGTAATTACTTCATCGTACAAGTGTTCCTTTGTATAAGAACTAAACCATACAGTAGATACGCATGCTACCTCAAGACCTTCTCCACGGTATACTTCTCCAGTTTCACCTTCCTATTTCTTCTTCTGAGGTCTTCGGCATTGTCATCGTCAACTTCATCAACAAGAATGATTTCAGGTTCATCGCCATCTTCAACGTCATCGTCAACATTGCCAAAAGACTCTAGTTCAGCCTCATCATCCCCATCGTCCACCCTCCCATATTCCTCATCAATATACTCGTCATCCAACTGTTGAGATCGCATAGCATGGAACTCTGGTGGAGGAGGGCAATCTTCAGTAATCGCCTCATCTCGTTTCATCACAAGGTGTCTAATGATTCTTTCATCCTTATCTAGCAGAGTCTTGAACTCGTTTATGGATTGTGCCTGTATCTCAAAGTTCATTAGGATGTAGTTGGCATGTGTTGCTTTCTTTATCTTGTAAGCAAGTCTGCGCAGTCCCCAGTTGTTCACCCTCCAAATCCTTCCTTTCTTCTCTCTGATAAAGTCTACAATAGAACGAAGAACATAGTTTATAGCATACCTTACAGCAGCAAAATCCTCGATAGAACTGAAATACCCCAAATAGTATGTTTTAGGCGATTAAAGTTAGCAAATCAGCCAGACAGGAGTATTCTTTAGCAGGCCATGGCTCCAGAAGAGTGTCAAACCCTTTGCCGCCATAACATGGAAGTTTGTCATACTCATCATGACTGAGATTAACTCGCTGAGGATTTAAGTACATACAAACAACATGTGGACAAAATCACATCTTTGTACAACTGAGTAAGTGATGCGTGAGTATCGAGAAATGCACCTTGTACTTTTGATACAACGTCTTCAACTTCTTCCACGCGGTCCTCGTGAATGAGGTAAACAACTTCATAGTGTCGCACTGCAGAATGATGGAGAATGTTCATTATCCTGATCTTAGATCACCACATCTGAACAGGCGTGCAATGATGCCGCCATATATAACCAATTAAAATGTTTTGATAAGGGGGGAAAGGGAAGAGGTCTTACTTCTTTGCAGATTTAAACCACTCTCTAGCTGAATGTTAAGAAGCTCGTATAGCTTTTCTGTAAATTTAGTTGGGTTAGACAGATCGCGTATTGGCATCAAGCACAAAAAGGACCAACTGAGTGCAAAATGACTATCACCTTCTTCGGCGTCCGCGAATTCTGGCAAAGCTTCACCGTCCTCTTTCACCTTTTTCTGCAAAACAATCAGCACAAAAAAGTATAATCAACTATAAATCTCATTTTTTGCTTTCTTCTCAAGGAACAAATAAATATTGAAAATGTTATGGCCGGCCGGCTTAGGCCCGCAAGTTATCTTAGTTTTTATTTTTAGATTAGGCAAGTTATCTTAGGCAAGTTATCTTAGGTTGATTCTTCTACAAGTTATCTAGGATATAAATATAGGTTGTAAGGCTCTTTTTGAAGGCAAGCAATAAGAAGAATATTATCTCCTATTGCCCGGCTCCCTGAGGAGCCGGAACCCTAGCCGCCAACAGCCCTAGCCACCGCCCTTCTCCTAGCCGCGACGGCGCCCTGCCGCCGGCGCGCCCGATCCTCGCCACGTCTCCCTCCATCCTTCCCTTACCACCTACGCCCTAGACCTGGTAGAGTACTTGATCCTACCAATTTGGTATCAGGTAACCGGGTTTCGACCATGTCTCCGCCAATTCCACCGCCACCACCACCGCTGCCCGCCAACTCCTCCACCACCGCCGCCTCTGCGCCGGGCGTCACGGCCTCGCTCTCGGCGGGCACCACTGCGTCGCTCTCAGCGCCGGTCCTAACGGCACCCGGCACAACGCCGGGCCAAGGGCAGCCACAGGCCCCCGTCCAACACTCGCCGCCGCCATCACCTCCCCCGCAGCCGCAACAGTTCACGCCGGAGGCCATGGCGGGCGTCCTCAACGACCTCGTCACCGCGGTTCAAGGGATCCGCCTCTACCTGGCAGGTCCGTACGGGCCGCCCCCACCACTCCATCCAGCCATGGCCGCGGGTCAGCAGGCGCTTCCATGGTACTCGGCACCGGGGGCCATCACCGGACTCCATCCAGCCATGGCCGCAGGTCAGCAGGCGCTTCCATGGTACTCGGCACCGGGGGCCATCACCGGAGGCTACCCGGCGCTCCCCGCCCCAGCGGCCGCACCGCCGCCTTGGGCGCAGTGGCCGCCGCAGATTGCGTCGGCAGCCCCGCCACTTCTCGCCACCACGGGGCCGCAGTGGCCCACTTGGACCGCGCCGGCCGCGCCGTCCTCCGTCGCGCCCTACCTTCCAGCGGCCTCGGAGCAGGGTCCTCCACCGGCCCCGCCCAGCCCTAACCTGGGCACCGGCGCCTCGGAGCAGGGCCAGACCCAGCAGCTTCTTCTGGCGTCACCGCCGGCCCCCACGCCGCAGGCGCCGGTGCAGCTCCACCAGGCGCCGCCGCCATCGACAGTACCACCACCCGCGCCTAGGGCTACGGGTCGGCCCCTGCACCAGGTGCAGTTTCCACCGTCACCATCGCCGATCCCCGCTTGGGCGACCGGCTCGTCTTCGGGGCCGGTCTACTCCACGGCGCCGGAACACCCGACGCCCTCCCTGCGGTTTGATCACCCCTCCAGCTCGGCGAACTACGCCCCGGCGCTTCTCGACCCAGCATACGCGCTGGCGGCGACTACGGCCGCCCCCGGGCACGGCGGGCCGACACCCCCTCGCTTCGCCAAACTGGACTTCGCCACCTACGAGGGCACGGAGGACCCCCTCAACTGGCTCAACCAGTGCGAGCAGTTCTTTCGAGGGCAGCGGACGCTCGCTTCGGATCGCACCTGGCTCGCGTCCTATCATCTTCGAGGCGCAGCGCAGACCTGGTACTACGCCCTCGAGCAGGACGAGGGCGGCATGCCACCATGGGAGCGCTTCCGGGAGCTCTGTCTCCTCCGGTTCGGGCCTCCTATCCGCGGGAGCCGACTGGCGGCCCTCGGCCGCTTACCTTTCACATCCACGGTGCAGGACTACGCCGACCGCTTCCAGGCCCTGGCGTGCCACGCGCCGGGCGTCTCCGCCACTCAGCGCGCCGAGTTATTTGTGGGTGGTCTACCGGACCATATCCGCGTCGACGTGGAGCTTCGGGGACCCCAGGATCTCCAGTCGGCCATGTATTACGCCCGCGCGTTCGAGCGCCGCGCGGTGGCCATCTAGCAGGAATCACCGTCCCAGACTGCTGGGTCGCTACCCGAACCGGATTCCGCGCAGGGTCGGCCTGTGCAGGCTTCTGCGGCACCCCTCGCCGCGACCGCGGGGCGCCCGTTCCGCCGGCTCACCCCAGCTGAGATACTCGAGCGTCGCCGCCAAGGGTTGTGCTTCAACTGCGACAAACCCTACAAGCCCGGCCACGCCTGCCCGCGACTCTTCTACCTGGAGGTGGCAGACTACATTCCGGAGGACGCCGTCGCCGCTGACCTGGCCGCCCCAGATGTCGAGAAGGTGTTTGACGCTGGTTGATTACCTCGAAGAGTTCAAGCAAGCGCTTCCCCACCTTACAGCTCGAGGACGAGCTGTTTGTGCAGGCGGGGAGAAGTGTTATGGCCGGCCGGCTTAGGCCCGCAAGTTATCTTAGTTTTTATTTTTAGATTAGGCAAGTTATCTTAGGCAAGTTATCTTAGGTTGATTCTTCTACAAGTTATCTAGGATATAAATATAGGTTGTAAGGCTCTTTTTGAAGGCAAGCAATAAGAAGAATATTATCTCCTATTGCCCGGCTCCCTGAGGAGCCGGAACCCTAGCCGCCAACAGCCCTAGCCACCGCCCTTCTCCTAGCCGCAACGGCGCCCTGCCGCCGGCGCGCCCGATCCTCGCCACGTCTCCCTCCATCCTTCCCTTACCACCTACGCCCTAGACCTGGTAGAGTACTTGATCCTACCAGAAAACTTCTAATCTAAGGAAACAAACATTAAAATGATTATAACCGAACAAATAAATATTGAAAACTTCTAATCTAAGGAAACAAACATTAAAATGATTATAACCATTACAATTTGTCTGTCATTTAAGTCTTAGCAGTGATAGTTTGGTCCATTGGCTAATAGCAACGATTTATGGTGTTCAGAGATTAACGCAATCATGCAAGGAACCAAATTAGAAGGAGCAATTCCTGCTGAAGACCATGCTGCGACGTACTTACAGGACCATCTTCTACCACCGGCAATTCAAAATACAGATTTTTTTGCAGGCAATGCTATCTTCTGTGATGCTGCATGGCGAATACAACCAGATGATGGTACTAAACATGCAGGAATTGGAGTCTTCATCCAGGTTCAGAACAATCAGCATATCCAGCAATTTCACATCTCGGCAATGTCCCCCCGGCTTCTTCTACCTAGGAAGCCGCCGCCGCCGGGCTCGGTGACCTGCACGCCCCAGTTGCCGCGGAGGTGTTTGGTGACGGCTGATCACCTCGAGGAGTTCCGCAAAGCGCTTTCCCGCCTTCCAGCTCGAGGACGAGCTGTTTGTGTAGGCGGGGAGAAATGTTATGAGCGGCATATATTACAGCCAGGCAGTTAGGGGCCTGGCCCAGTTATCTTATCGTGTTAGGGGCTTAGCCCAATTATATCATTAGGAGGATTATATAAACTCATGTAAGGACCCGTTTTGAGATTAAGCAAGAAGCAATCATTATTTGCTCGGCTTCCCGAAGGGAGCCGGGAGACCTAACCCTAGCCGCCTCCTGCCAACGCCGCCGCCTCTTCCCTCGCGCACGACGGCGACCGCGAGATCGCCCGCGTCCAGCCCCCTCCTTCCCCTACAATCTCCGCCCTAGACCCAGTAGAACCCTAGTTTCTACCATATTTCTTCCAAACGAAAGATGAGGGGCCAAATGCCAAGCATAAGGGACTGTTACCAGCATTTTAGCAAAATAGAAACATTGCAGATTGTATCAGTAGAATTCGCCCATCCAGCCCAAGAAACATCATCATGAAACTACACTTGTGGATCTACCCATGCTCACTATTAATAAATACTGCAATCTGGAAACTATGAGCAGAGAATGATACCAAACTATGCTCAGAGAATGACACCATATTCAGAATTCAGATACGGAAAGCTGCAACAAATACCATCTATTGCCTCCAATAATCTGCCTAGCTTTTCGGTCCAAGGTCTATCGAATAATATGCCTACTTCACCAAACTAGCAACCATGCTACATTTGATATTCGTCAAAGGGAGTTCATTATCCATAAGCTAACATCAAAATTCTCCGCAACCCAAATGCCAACGCTCTACAGAATTAGTGCAACTGCCCGCAGCACAAATCACGGGCACACGCACCTTTCTGAGAAGCACGGCCTCGGGGAACGGCCCGGTGACCTCGCCGGCCTTGGGGTTGAAGCTGTGCGCGTCCACCCTCTCCTCCCCCGCCTCCCCGTCCTGCCGCCCCCTCTTCTTCCTGGCCCCCGCGACCACGAACCGGCGCCTCCCCACGCCAAGGGCGAGCCGCACCGTGCTGACCAGCGGCGGCGAAGGCGCCAGGAGGAAGAGAGGCCGCGTCGACGCGGCGGTGGCCTCCATGAGCGACGGTTGTCGGTGAGAAGAGGAGAGGAGGAAGGTTCTCGCGGGGGTTTTGGTTTGGGGACGCGGAGCGAAACGAAACGTGGGCAGATAAGGTAGTTAACGGGCCGGGCTCTTGGGTGGACCATTTTGTTTTTTGTAGAGGCCGCGCGCTCAATCAATATGGGCCGGGTTCTGGGAAAGCCGGCCTCTCCGTCTTCTTCCTCCTCCGGCCGCAGTCGCCTAGGGTTTTGCGGCTCGTGGTCGTACTCGTAGCCATGGACGCGAAGGCGGCGCTGCCGCCGACGTCGACTCAGGAGCAGCAGAAGCAGGAGGAAGGAGGCGGTGGAGACGGAAGCTACGGCGTGCTCCTGTACTACAAGTACGCCGATGTCCCCGACGCCCCCGCGCTCGCGGCCTTCTACGAGTCCCGCTGCCGCGCTCTCGCGCTCGTCGGCCGCGTCCGCGTCGGCCCCGACGGCGTCAATGCCACGGTGAGCATCCGCCTCTTTCTAGTTCTCCCCCCGCTAACGGCGCCGTGTTTTGCGGATTCCCGTATGTATCGTGGTGGGTACTTGAATTCGTGGCGACGTTTTGCGCTGGTAGCTCGGGGGAAGAATGGCGGCGCTGGAGAAGCACATCGAGGAGATGAGCTCGAACAGCCTGTTCGACGGGACCGACTTCAAGCTGGCCTCCTGCGAGGACCCTATCGACGAGAGGGTCGCCAGGGAGTGCGGCTTCACGTCACTCTCGGTTCGGCTCGTCAAGGTTCTCTTCTTCCTCACAAGGCAAATGTTTTGACCATTTATGAGCTCGTGTAGCACCGTGAAGTCTTGTCAATTACATTGTGTCTAATGCTGTTCTTGGGATTGGCAGGAGCTGGTTACGCTTTGTTCCAACCCATCGCTGACAACGCCCGATATCTCATTCGCCGGGAGGCATTTGTCAGCGGCTGAGTTCCACTCGGTGCTTCAGACTGTGGGTGGGTTGATTCTCAAACCGAAGCTTGTATACATCTGGCTGTCAATGTGATCTACACTCTGCTTAGTAGCGAGATCATTCTCTTGCCATTAAGAACAGATGTTTAAACAAGAGCTTGATGCTAAGTTGGATTGCTCTTGTCGCAGGAACTGGTTCGGATACTGAGGCGCCTGCGGGGCAGAATGATGTGGTTGTTTTGGATGCAAGGAATCTGTATGAGACGCGGATCGGCAAGTTTCATGTACCAAATGTGGAGACGCTGCATCCTGAGATCAGACAATACAGTGACTTGCCATTGTGGATAGATGAGCATACTGAGAAGCTACGTGGTAAATCAATTATGATGTATGTATGGCCAGGTCTTCGAATTATACATTGCTTTAGAGTTTAGGCAACACATTTAGCAAGCAATTTAAGAACTACCTTATTGGTATTTTCAGGTACTGCACAGGAGGTATACGGTGTGAGATGGCCTCAGCTTATATCCGCTCCAAAGGTGAAGGCTTTGAGAATGTTTTTCAAGTAAGCTGCACCTTTCGGTTGCTAATTTTGAGATTTCAGACATCCGTACATATACACCATGATATCGTACTTTGCATTATTTATGATCATTTATTATTGTGCTTGCGTTAGTTATACGGTGGCATTCAAAGATATTTGGAGCAATATCCCGATGGTGGCTATTTTGATGGAAAGAATTTTGTATTCGACCATAGGTTAGTGCTGAACTTTGTGCTCGAACCCTTGAACTATTTCATAGTAACTCAGTTACTTAACTTGTTTCAATATGGTTTAACAGAATCTCTGTGGGAAGCAATAAAGATAACATACTTGGAACTTGTTTGATATGTGGATCTACCTATGATGACTATTCCTCTCGGTGTCGTTGCAGCAATTGCAGAATGTTGGTCTTAGTGTGCTCCACATGTCAGGTACCTAAGATGACATGCTTTATATTGTTTTCTAAATTGTTGCTAATTACCTTAATTTCATTCTTGATGACTCATGACAGAATGTGTCTGCTAAATCTTGTAAACATTTTCTTCTCCAGGATTCTAATAAGGAGTATGTATGTGAACTATGTCTAAAGAATGGAAAACAGTGCTGTGAAATATCTGTAAAGCAAGACTACCAAGCAGAGTCAGAGCTATCTGAACCTTCTGACATTGGAAAGCTATCCATAAGCAACAAAATTTCAACCTCTAAAGCTCCTGGGAGTAATGGTAAGGTCTGTATCAATTCACATTTGTGTCATTCGGATGTTTGGCTATTTAAGATATTATCAAGTATGCCCAGCCTAGAAGTCCATATGCTACGTAGGCAGAACTATGGAAGTGTTGCTCACCAAGAAAGAGTAATGCACAGTAGATTCGCTAATTTTGTAGAGTAACTATGTAGGCAGAACTAAAGAAGTGGTGCTCAGCAAGAAAGAGTAACACACAGTAGATTCGCTAATTTTGTAGGGAGTATTTGAAACCTATGGGGTCAAAATGAACTCCATAGACCATATGGTAGCAAGCTTCTGTACTAACTTAACTAGTCGTTACCCGTGTATTGCTCTGGAGCAAAGAGATAAAAGCATTGGTCAAATGGAAGGTCTGTCCGGCGCACGCCTCAAGCACGGCACACATGCAGCTTTTGACAGTGTTGCAACAAATGTTGATGTCTTTCTCCTGTTTTCTCCTCACGAACTTCCACTTGTAGTTTGAAGTGCCTATTTCTTTTTCAATCAATTCGTTTGTGGTCTTCAATTCATTTTTGTCTGAGATAGTATTACCTTTTGTCGGTACCCGTGTATTGCTTCCGAGTCAGTATTTTTGTCTGAGTGTTAGTATTGCAACTTGTGGAAATGATGTACCAGGTAGTGAGCAGCTGAAGAAGTTGAGGATTCTCTGCTTGCACGGCTTCCGTCAGAACTCTTCAAACTTTAAGGGAAGAACATCATCACTTGCGAAGAAGCTGAAACACATCGCGGAGCTTGTCTTTATAGACGCTCCACACAAGCTTTCATTTGTATACCGACCACATCCAGATGTCTGCTCCGACAAACCCTCACCTCCATCTGGCACAGCAAAAACAAAATCCGCATGGCTAGTTTCTCCGAACATGAGCTGCCACACCATGCAAGATTGGAAGGTTGCAGATGCACCGTTTGACCCCCTTCAGTACCAGGAACAAACAGACGGGTTCAAGGAATCATATGCATACCTTGAAAGTATAATTGCTCAGGACGGCAACTTTGATGGCGTTCTCGGTTTCTCCCAGGGTGCAGCAATGGCTGCCTTACTGTGCAGGCAGCAGCAGAAGACTTGCGGATCTCCAAAGTTCAGGTTTGGGATATTCTGCTCTGGATATCCAGCACCTGTTGGCGATTTTGACAGAGAGCCAATCAGGCTCCCCTCGCTCCATTGCTTCGGTGGCGGTGAAGGTCATGACAGGCAGATCGCAAGCAGGGCAAGCACTGAACTTGCTGGCATGTTTGAGGAGGGCCGGTGCACCATCGTTGAGCATGACATGGGGCATATCATTCCTACCCGGCCACCCTACATCGATCGGATGAAAGAGTTCCTATGCAATTTCATATGACCTTTTTGGAAAATAGGGGATGTGCTTTGTTGTATCTCTGGACCTGCTATGATGTATTTCTTCTTTTTGTATACTACTTTTGCCTCTAAAACCGAAGGAAAGGAAAGACAACAAACAAATCAGTGAGTTGAAACCAGATGCTTTGTGGATGGCGCAAAATAGTTATTGTCCCGCGTACAGCACTGTATAAAATCATGTCTTAGGATGTGCCCATTATTCTGCTTTAGTATTTGTGCAAATTTTTTATATATCTATAAGTGTGAAAGATTTTGATTGTTTGAGCTAAAATTTTGTTTGACCTTCAGGGAAAAATGACATGGATACTTTGAACAAAATGTAACATGTATTTGGTTTAGGACAAACTTTGACCAACAATTTCTCTGCTACCCTCTGTCTCATAATGTAAGACGTTTTTTGACACTACACTAGTGTCAAAAAACGTCATATATTATGGGACGGATGGAGTATTTTACATGGTATAAAATTGGTATTAGATTTTTATTCAAAAGTATTAGCTGGTGATCATGATATTGTATCACATGAGTTTCAGTGTAAAATTGATCAAATATTTGTCAATAATTTTTTAGGTGAGTAATGGCCGGCAAGATTGATAGTTCAGAATGCTCTTTCTCCATCGCCATCTCACTTTGTGCAGGTTTGTAGTGTGTGATCCAACTTACATCAGATATATGATCATTGCAACAAATTCTGACAATAAAGATTTTTATAAAACTGAAACATTGAGATTTTGAAGTTCCGTAATGACTTTGCTGATGAACTATGGACGATTAAAGTTGCACAAACTAGACTAGTGATGGCCAAAATCCACACCATGATGGAGGTAGAATGGTGAGACTTTTATATCATGCATCACTGCCTCAGACACACAACACATAACAAAAATAAACATAAAAACACCCCCCAAGGGGGTACATGTCTTCTCTCACTTCCCTGTGCTAAATAGGGCGTCCTGCGAGGGACCATGGAAATTTGGACCCTGGCTACATTGTAGCTAGGTTTTCTGATTTCGTCTCATAGTCTACACACATATGTTATTGTTGGAAATATGCCCTAGAGGCAATAATAAAATGGTTATTATTATATTTTCTTATTCATGATAATTGTCTATTGTTCATGCTATAATTGTGTTATCCGGAAATCATAATACATGTGTGAATATATAGACCACGACATGTCCCTAGTGAGCCTCTAGTTGACTAGCTCGTTGATCAATAGATGGTTACGGTTTCCTGACCATGGACATTGGATGTCATTGATAACGGGATCACATCATTAGGAGAATGATGTGATGGACAAGACCCAATCCTAAGCATAGCGCAAGATCGTGTAGTTCGTCTGCTAAAGCTTTTCTAATGTCAAGTATCTTTTCCTTAGACCATGAGATTGTGCAACTCCCGGATACTGTAGGAATACTTTGGGTGTGCCAAACATCACAACGTAACTGGGTGACTATAAAGGTGCACTACGGGTATCTCCAAAAGTGTCTGTTGGGTTGGTATGAATCGAGACTAGGATTTGTCACTCCGTATGACGGAGAGGTATCACTCTGGGCCCACTCTGTAAGACATCATCGTAATGAGCTCAATGTGACTAAGGGTTGGTCACGGGATGATGTGTTGTGGAACGAGTAAAGTGACTTGCCGGTAACGAGATTGAACGAGGTATTGGGATACCGACGATCGAATCTCGGGCAAGTAACGCACTGATTGACAAAGGGAATTGTATACGGTATTGCTTGAATCCTTGACATCGTGGTTCATCCGATGGGATCATCGTCGAACATGTGGGAGCCAACATGGGTATCCAGATCCCGCTGTTGGTTATTGGCCGGAGAATTGTCTCGGTCATGTCTGCATGGTTCCCGAACCCGTAGGGTCTACACACTTAAGGTTCGATAACGCTAGGGTTATTAGGAAGACTTGTATGTGACTACCGAATGTTGTTCGGAGTCTCGGATGAGATCTCGGACGTCACGAGGAGTTCCGGAATAGTCCGGATGTGAAGATCTATATATGGGAAGTTGTCATACGGTCACCGGAAAAGTTCGGGGGCATATCGGTATTATACCGGGGCCACCGGAGGGGTTCCGGGAGTCCACCGGGAGGGGCCACCTCTCTTGGAGGGCCTCATGGGCCGTAGAGGAAAGGGAACCAGCCCTTGGAGGGCTGGGCGCATCCCCCCTTTGGGCCCATGCGCCGAGGGTTGGGGGGAAACCCTAGAGGGGGCGCCCCCCTTGCTTGGGGGCAAGCCCCCTCCCCTTGGCCGCCCCCCCCCTCTAGATCTCATCTAGAGGGGGCCGGCCCCCTTCCTCCTTCCCCTATAAATAGAGGGGCAAGGGGAGGGCTTTAACAAATTCCCATCTGCCCATAACCGCGGGCACGACTTTCGAAAGTTCAAATCCCTGCAGGGGAGTCCCAACTTAGCCCATCACAAGCTCTCACGGTCAACGAAGGATATTCCTTCTCTTGAGACATTCCGATCAGACTCGGCATCCCGGTTACAAGACATCCTCGACAATGGTAAAACAAGTCCAGCAACACCGCCCGAATGTGCCGACAAATCCCGATAGGAGCTGCACATATCTCGTTCTCAGGGCACACTCAGATGAGCCAGACGTCGGGTAGGCCAGCCCAGAGTTGCCCCTGGTAGCCCCAGACATCGCTCAGTTGGACCAACACTTAGAGAAGCACTGGTCCGGGGGGTTAAAATAAAGATGACCCTTGAGTCCGCGAAACCCAAGGGAAAAAAGCTAGGTGGCGAATGTTAAAACCAAGGTTGGGCATTGCTGGAGGAGTTTTATCCAAGGCGAACTGTCAAGGGGTTTCCATTATAACCCAACCGCGTAAGGAACGCAAAATCCGGGAACATAACACCGATATGACGGAAACTAGGGCGGCAAGAGTGGAACAAAACACTAGGCATAAGGCCGAGCCTTCCACCCTTTACCAAGTATATAGGTGCATTAAGATAACAAGATAATATAGTGATATCCCAACAATAAACAATGTTCCAACAAGGAACGATCTCCAATCTTCACCTGCAACTAGCAACGCTATAAGAGGGGCTGAGCAGAGCGGTAACATAGCCAATCAACGGTTTGCTAGGACATTGTGGGTTAGAGGTTTGACATGGCAATTTGGGAGGCATGATAAGCAAGTGGTAGGCATCGTAGCATAGGCATAGCAAAAGAGCGAGCATCTAGCAAGCAAAGATGGAAGTGATTTTGAGGGTATGATCATCTTGCCTGCAAAGTTGTCAGAGTTGACTTGAGCCTCGTAAGCGAACTCAACGGGCTCCTCGTTCATGAACTCGTCTCCCGGCTCTACCCAAACAAGGACAACAAGCAAACGGAACACAATCAACCACGTGCAATGCTCAAACAACATGATGCAAACATGGTATGATATGCGGGATGCGGTATGCGATGCATATGCAAGATTTGACAAGAAATGATTGAACCTGGCCTCAACTTGGAAATCCAAGAGTGTCACTGGAAAGGTGTGGTGATTTCAGTTGAAATCGATATAAAGATCACCGAAATCGGATGCACGGTTTGGAAATGGCAAGCAAAACAAATATGACACCGGTCTGCGATAATCAGCAAATGATCAACTAAATGCATCAAGAAAAATATGCTACAACACTCAAACATGACAACAAAATACATGGCAGGGATCCACTCATGAAGCTTGACAAAATATGAACACTGAGCTACGGCTAATTCATCCATTAACAAGTTCAAACAAGCATGGCAAAAGTGCAAATGACAACAGGTTTCAGACTTAGTGAAATTAACACAAGTCTGGAATTTATCATCAGGAAGCACACTTTAGAGCATAAAAACTACATGCTATAGGAACTTAACATGGCAAATCAAGGCATGGCATGAAGCTACTCAAAGCACTTAACAAAAGTCTCTTAGTGACCTTGAGCCAAAAGGGATCAGAAAAAACAATTGCAAGCATGTGAACATGGCAAAAATATAAGCAGATTCAGACTTAGTGGAAAAATTAGAGCATGCAAATCAGTTAACGAGTAGGCATGTTTACGAGCTCAATGCACTCACTACAGAGCATGGCATGACAAACTAAGCATACACCCATCAAGAATACATAGCATAGAAGCTAGACATGGTAAGAACAACAACATAGCATGCACGGATCAATAGCAACATCCTCGGAAAAATCGCTAAACATGTCAACAATCTGCGAGGATTAACTTTATAGCAAAAGTAGAGCTCGATTGACTCAAGCTAGGGTGCTCCATAAATGCAAAAAAAGACATGGATAGATAGAGCACCACAATGTTAACAAATCATCCTTACTGATCATCCTCAAAAGAGGCACGGATCACTAGGAAACAATATGAACATATGGCATAACGACAAAATCAGGACAAGGACTTGGTGAAATTCTAAGTCCCTGAAATCAGCATTACCGATTACGCTACTTTGCAAGCTTGTGCTAGTCACCACAAATATCACAAAAATACATGGCAATCACCTCTGTAAAGATGGCATGGCATATGACGAAACACATGTAGAGCTCAGGATTATAGCATGCACACATTAATCATGGTAAAAATGACATAGCTATTTGATGCAACAGATCTGACAAATTCACCACATAGCCCTCTTCCAACAGCATTTCGGGCATCAAGATGAGCTCAAATGAAAATGATGCAATGAGATGAAATGATGAACTCGACGAGACGAACATTACGATATGCTACACGCACGAATCGGAGCTACGGATGCAGAGTTATAGCATGCCAAAGTTTGCAAATATTTAGGGTTTGGGGATGAAAGTCAACCCTCTCAGATCCACATCTGGATCCAACCGGTACTGTAGCAGGGTGCGGAAAATGAGGATCGACGGCGACGTCGGGGAAGAAGAAGCAGCGGCCGACGGGGACGGCGAGGTCGCCGGAGCGGGATCCGGCCGGAGCTGCGACGGCCGGGGTCAGAGACGGCGCGGCGA